GGAAAAATGACGAGCATAAATGGAATAGAAAAATTTTCTGTGCATTTCTTTAAGAAATTATTTTAGAATTCTAGTATATCCAATCTATATTTATCTATTCAAATATGATTAGTAATGTAAAATATAAGTACTTTAATGTTCAATTGGAATTAAATTGAAAAGATATTCTTGAAGTATGCAACCATTTGCTCGGTAATACTTACATACCATATGATATATCGCAAGTACTACAGCCTAGGTTTCACCACGTGGAGGTTGCTGCATCTGGGATACCTATTAATGGCTACCCATATAAAAATCTAAGCCGATCTGTATTCAACACGGTCAATTTTAAAATGATAGTGTATGTATTAATCGATATGATAGTATATATAAATGATTTTTGTAATGTTACTAAGAATGTTGTAATGTTTAAATGGTAGTTAATTGTAGTTCATGTACCTCGTACATTGTTCGAATATTAGTAAAATATTAGTTGAAAAATAAAATTGTATTTATTTTATATTAATCGTGTCTTACGATCTTTATATTAATTATTGTTTATCGAACGATCACTGAAGTTAATTCACGAAACTCCACTGTCTTTTATAAATACAGTTTGTGCGATTATTAAAAGAACAGAACACTTTGGGGAGAAACACTGATTCTAAAGATTGCATTGTCAAAACACTTATTATTTAAATAGCGAAACGCGAACGATCAAACAGTGCTTCTACTTCATAATATTTTCATTTTAACGATACGAACATTCGATTACTTCATTGGTACGCGCATGAATGCAATGAAGTTCTGAAACAGAAAAATACAAACATAATTAGTATTGAAATTTTAAATTAAAATTATTCTAAGTTTCCCACGCGTTATAATCTTTGTGACATTGGAAATGAATTTCCTTATTTTTACCATAAAATCATTTATTCAAAGGATGGCCGAGTAAGCTTCTCCGTCCAAGCATCGTGAAATGCATTTCTTTGCGTTTGGAATGGCTCAAAAAATATCATACCCCCTTCAATGTGATATGAAAATCAGTAGTGGGAGTACGAGCTTCTTCTTTTTTGCCGTAAATTTTGAGGGGCGCCACAGTAGAAAACTTTTTCTTCATGAAAAATGTCAAAAACAAATTTATGTCAATAACGACAACAGACGTAATTCTTAACCAATTTTGATGGACAAGGTCTCACTTTAAAAACGAAGTTTAATCTAGAATCCTGTTTTCCCGAATTTTTGAAACAGCTTTTTATTTTTGCATGAACTATTTTTGAAAAGATATCATTTTTTAATACGATTTTTTCCAAAAAGTAAAGGTTTTTCAAAAATTCGAAAAAGATTTACGCCAGATTAAACCTTCGTCTTTAAAATGAGATCTTGTTAATCAAATTCGGTCAAAAATTATGCCTATTCTCATTGTTGGCATATAAAAGCAGGGGTGATAAACAGCCTTAAGCGCGTTAGACAGAATAATTTTCTTTCAACATGCGTCAATTGTTTAATGCCAATAAAAGGACCATGCGAGTAATCACTTAAGTTTCCTTTTGTACTCCGAGGACTAAATAAACTCTTTCCGTTACGTTTAACCTTAGTTGTGCACACTACAAAATAATTTTAAGTTGCACATTTGGGATGAGCTACACCTCAAGCACTTTGAACAGCTCTCATTTATACAAAATGAATAATTTTTATTCCAAAAAAATACTGTGTATTCTTTGAAACCTCGGAAATAATAATTAATAGGTTTGAAAACGCATTTCCAACTTTGTCGTAAAAAAAAATCATGAATCATGCAATGTGCAAATTGTTTTAATTGAGATCAAAGTTAATTTTGGGTGACACAACTAAGATTAAACATATTATAGAGACGATCATTTTATAATTATTTAAACTTAATTCCGTAAAGCATCGCAAAGCTCTTAAGACGCGTTAGACATAGAATAATTTTCTTCCAGCGTGTGTCGATCGTTTAATGTCAACAAGAATGATCATTAGAAGTACCATGTGAATTACCATGTCAGTTTCCTCTCGTACTCCGAGGATTAAACGTGGAAATACAATCTTTCCGTACCGCTACATTTAATTATCTTATAGATAAAGTATATATAATTGTATATCATACATTTCTTAAATAATTTATATAGTTTCTTCTTATAAAAGTGATACTAATAATTTTGTTTATAATTTTTTTATTTCAGAACTTCATTGTAATCGCGCACATAACAAAGAAGTAATCGAGTGTGTATTGTTAAAATAAGAATATCGCGAAGTAGTTCGTTTGCTCGCGTTTCGCAATTTAAACAGCAAGTGTTTTTGCATTGACTGCGAGCAATGCAGTCAGAGTCAATGTTTATTCGCGAAGTTTATTGTTTTTTAACAAGTCGCACAGACTGTGTTTATAAACGATAGTAGAGTTTCGTGGAGTAAATTCAGTGACCGTCTGTTAATAAATAACTACTATTAATTAGAATCAGTGAATCACTGAAGAGGATCTCATTCAACTTCGATGTTGATCTACCATATCTTCAATCAGCTACCCTCAATTCCGATCCACCCTCAATTTCAATCACAGACGAGTGTTTTAGAGTGTTCTGGAACCATCGTAGAACTTCTTAAATAGTAAGTGAATTTTTAAGTTCCTTTGATCATTCAATCATGTTGAGGATGAAAAATCTGAATCGATACGAGTAATTGGTTGTAATTAATTAATAGAAAATTATTAAATTTCTTCTTAAAAGATTTATTCGTAAATGGTTTGTTGTGTTTTGATGTATTTATTTAATTAGAATAGGGTCTTCTTGTTCAAATGCGTTAATTATAATTATTTGAAATTTCGAATATTTTAATGCACGAATTATTCACGGATTCTAATAAGGATGAGTAAGAAGACATTCACGAAGAATAGTATCTGGATTATAAGCGAAATTGATGCATGATTTTCTTATAATAATTAAAATACTCGTTTGTAAGGAGCGTCCAAGGGTTTGTTTTATATTTTTAAATAGTTATTAATTAAATATTTAAGCAATTTAAATTGATAAAAAAGAACTTTCGATAAAGTTATTACTTTTGAAAAAGAAAAGTCGAGTAGAGTATTTGCTAAAAAATAAAGAAACTTGTAAAGTCATAATCCGTAAGCCTAGATGATAAATATATGAATGTTTAGTTCAGGATTTTCAACAATAAATATCTTAATTCTAATTTTTCCTACGCTGCGGAAAGATATCTCCTGAAAAAGTAATAATCAGTTTGTATCCAAAGAGATAAGATTTTTCATTTATTTTTTAGATACGTTAGGATTGTGTTAGGGTTTTTTTTATATCTTAGAATTTAGAATAAAATTTTGTTGTTATAGTTTTTGAACAGTTTTAGTATTTGTCGAAGAGCCCCCCATAAACTGTGGCTCAAGAGGGCAATTATAGACTATTCAGTTATTTTCGAAGGTTCACCAGTAACTTTCGAGAATAGCTCTCTTCGAGATCATTTGATATTTTGCAATTTTATTATAAAACTCAAGTCATACATTTTTCACTTTTTTCTTTTCTTTAAAGTTAAATTAAATTAAATTCATACTTTTATCTTTCACAACTAATATATTTCTTATTTCAATAAAATTAAATTCCAGTAAAATCATAGTAACGAAACATATGATATGGCAATTGTGGAAACCACTAAAATTGCACTGAATAACGGTGCACATGGAGCTGAGTACACCAAAATGTGTGCCAAGTTCTCCATTTCCCACATATCACGGGAAAAGAATATTTGTTTAGATTAAGATCGAGAATTTTTCATTTTCTTTTTCTCTTTTAAATTTAAATTAAATTAAATTCAGAATTTTCTTTTTATATCTTTATATATATAGATAAATAATCTATATATATATATATATATATATATATATATATATATATATATATATATATACAAACACACACACACGTTCTTTCCTTATTTCTTTTCTTTTTTATAAAATCAAGTTGTATTAGAGTCATTAAATTAGGGCTTTTAAAAATCACGAAACGAATGGCAATTGCGAAAAACACATGTGTGAAGGTTTACATTTAAATATATATCATGTTCTTCGTTTGTATCACATTACAGGAAGATTAAAGATTAAGAACTTTTCATATTCGATATAATTAATTTATTATAGATTTCGGAATATGTTAGAAGTTACGAATATTTCGAAATTACATTCATTGGAACATAGATTTATACTTGATAAACGTAGATTAAGATAATGATGATTTTTAAATTTATAGATATAAGAAGTAAATCTTGCACTATCGAAATAAAATCAATCGTGTGAAATAGACACACATTTAAATTCGGAAAGGAATCATTAATAAGATTATTTTAGTAATATTTAAACAATAGAATATTCTTAGAAACATGTCAAAAATCGTAAGATAAAATCGATATAAAATAAATTCAATTTAGTCTTTTAACTAATATAAATCACGAACTCAGAAGAATATAATTAATAAATAATATTATTTTACTAATATTTAAACGCTAACACTTCCAGTTAACGTCGATAGAGGAACGATAATATCGTGGTAATTGGTACTTGATAAAGGAATTTTTCAAAGAAATTAATATATGTCTATTTGTTTTAATTAATTTACTTTATTCATTCGTTTTTCATTGTTACTTTCCTCATACTTCCTCTATTCTTACAGAACAAAATATTACATTCTTGCAAAACAAATAAATCCATTTTAGTTTAGGAGGTTGGATCTAATGTAAGAAGAACATTGTCCTTAAGCAGTAGAGCTCATTATATCTTATGTATTATCTGTTTGAAATTAGTATAACATAGCATAGAACAACACAGCATATGAATATATAGCATGATATGAATATATATATTCATATCATTTTTTTGTTTATTAATATTCGTAGCATTAATATAAAATTTCAAATATCGTACTCATTTGTTAAAAAAGTATATTTATAAGTAAAGTATTTATAAGTAAAGTAATAAAAAGTATATTTATTTTTATATACTAACTAATCTAATGTAGATGAATAATAAGCTCTTTAATGATTTGAAGTTAAATTTCTTTGGTGTTTTATACAAAAAAAAAAAAAAAAAAAAATAAATAAACAAAGAATCTTATATAAGCATCATATGAAAATGAAATATAATTAAATAGGTATTAATCAATCTAGTTTATGATAGAGTTCAGCTCTATCAAAGCTAATTACACACACACACACACACATGCACGCACGTACGCACACATAGATAGCTAGATAGATAGATGCAATTATAATCCAAAGTATTAAATACTATTAGATAAAAATTTTTATTTACGTATTAGAAAAATTCGGAGTAGGTGTGTTAATAGTACCCCAAAACAATATCAATTTTGTAGGATTATGTCTAATGAAAAATAGGAAAGGTCTATTAGCTAACAACCTTTTTTGTCTACCATCTCTTTCTAAGACAATTGTGGTTGCTGCTGCAGCTTCAGTACCTTTTTCGTTAATTTCAATGTCTACTTTATGTAATACCTCATCAGCATATAAACCAGGATTAGCTAAAGTCGCACTATTTCTAAGATCGTCCAACCCATATGATCGGAAATTTCTACTTTCAACAATACGGAGAAAATCTTCGGACATAGGTCTACTTTGTCTTCGAACTCTTTTAACGTTATTTTCATCGTCGATTAGTTCAGTTTCGATTTCACGTCGTTTCCTTTGCATTCTTCTTATATTAAACCCCGTAGCCCATTGCTCGATATTATAACGGCGAGTATTATCAATATATTTGAATAAATGTTTTTTATACACTTGCCCTCCGTCTGAATCACCACCGAATCTTGAGAAAACTAATTGGTCTCTATTGTTCAATTGTCTATTTTGATCATTAAAGCTTTTACTGTTCTTAATTGTTGGATTTTGAGTTGCGCTTGCAATTAGTTCTCTTGAACCAGGTGATAATAAACTCAAATCTGCTGTTGCCGGATTAAACAAAGATGTTAAACCTAAACTCTTGAGTACTTTTTTCAATTTTAAAGAACTAGTAATCTTCATTTTAGGCATCCCTAATATAGTGGTTTGATTTTTCATGTTTTGAATTAAATATTCAATGATCTCTGGTGTTAGTGTCCTCTCAAATTCGCCTAATGCTCTTGCACCTTCTGCCTTAGGTAACATAATGTACATAGTAGTCTAAAAATAAGAAGAAAATGTTAATCCCACTGTATTGATGTACAAATGAATAAAACAAATATACATCTAACTTACATCTAATCCTTTATATGGTAGACCAACAATTTTAACGCCATAATTTTTATCTTCGTAAAAAGGAAAATCTCCAGCATTGTACATCATGTCTACTAGGATCTGTTCATTTGGTTCGATGGAAAAGTTTTTTCTACCAGTAGCTCCCGTTATGAAATATCTATTCCATTCGGCATTGAAGTATAATGCCGAAGCTATGATCACTTTCGTGGCAGGTGATGGTATATCATTTAAAATCGTTGAAATCTTTCCGTTTGTGTTTTCTTTTACCCATGCATTTATTTTGTCTTGTGCTTCCTTTCCTCTTTCTTGAAAGTCAAGATTCATTATTGCACTTTGGTATACATTTTCACTGATTGTCTTAAATTCTGGTCGAATTGGAAAACCTTCCTAATAGTATTTTTAAGAAAGGTATATATTATTTTCAGATAAAAAGAAATTTCATATAAAAAAATTCCAAATATTTTTTATACCTGCAAGAAAATAGCACTTGCAATGTCTATAATCCTTGTAGATTCAGCTTTCTCATGGACTACAGAAATCAATAATCCGAAAATTTGATGAACAAGTTCTGAATGCGTAGAAATGTCTACTCCCATAGCAAGTCCAAGGATTCTCGATACCTCTTCGAAAGTTATTCCCGCTGATCCTAAATGAATTAATGCGAGAGATCCAGCAATATTAAGTGGCGAGAATACTATATTGTCTTTTTCGTTTTTTACTGATGCCAAATTGTTAGCATATAGTACATTTTGGATATTTAGAGCTAATTTCGTGACACCTTTCGAGATTATATCATTCACCTGAAGAAGTAAATAAATAATGTTCAAGTGGAAAATCGAACATTTCGTTTGAAAGACGAAATAAATAATTTAATAAGAAAATATTTATATTATCTTACTCGATAAGCCCAATCTAATGGTAATGATTGAGCAAGAGGTGAAATCGGTGCCGCGATCGTATTAACATTTATTTGTGATGCAGCTTGAGATAAGGAATCTCCTGTCGGTTGTCCAGATAATTGATTTACGATAGAAGCGGATGATGAATATGTCATGGATGCTGGTGCTGCTGCATAATATGCCATGGGTGCTGCTCCTGATGCATAATATGCTACGGGTGCTGGTCCTGAAGCATAATATGCCACGGGTGTTGCTCCTGATGCATAATATGCCATGGGTGCTGCTGCTACTGCTGCAGAATATGCTGCGGGTGCTGCTGCAGAATATGTTCCGGGTGCTGCTGCAGAATATGCTGCGGGTGCTTCTGCTGGTGCGAAATATGCCACGGGTGCTGCTCCTGCTGCATAATATGCCACGGGTGCTGCTCCTGCTGCTGGTTCAGCGTATGCAACGGCAGCAGGATATGATTGTTGCTGACTATTAGCATAAGCCGAATAAGTTGAGGTCTTCAGATAATCGTATTGATCCGGATAAATCAATTGTGATTTACCCAAGACAATTAGTCCTAGGAATATTATAAACGTGATCATTTCTGAAAATGAAAATAATTACATGCCCCAATTAAAAAACAAAAAAAGCACAAAAAACATGTAAAGAAATATAAAAAAAATAATTTTTTTTTATTTTGTTAATAACAAAAGTCTTTTCTATCATCATAGTTGTTTTTAGCTAGTGAAATGTATTAATACGTCATGTTCTCTATCTGCTTTGGATGACGTGTTTGCGCAGTCAAATTAGTTTGCTTACAGGAAGTAAACATGGTACCAATTGTCACAATCAATAATGGTCTTTTATTCATTAGATGACATTCTAAGTACATGATGATCTAATAAATAATTACTTTTATAATTAAGGAATAATCTTTCTCTCTCTCTCTCTCTCTCTCTCTCTCTCTCTCTCTCTCTCTCTCTCTCTCTCTCTCTCTCTCTCTCTCTCTCTCTCTCACTCACTCTTTTTCTCTATCTATCTGTCTTTTTTATCACGATTACGAACATTTGAGAAATTCATTGATATTTTGGAACATGAATAAAATTTAGTTTTAAAAATAATAATCTCTCTCAATGCTCGCTCAATGATACAAAACAAAAATAGAAAAAGGAACGTTATAATCAAACCAAATGAATATATAATGCTTTTATCGATCCTTTCTAACATCTTTGCACTTTATCATTATACATACCCTTGACTAGACTTTTATATTCAAACTGTTGACTTAACTTCAAGTTAGAAAATTTGTCAATATTTTATATTTATATATATATATATATATATATATATATATTTATATATATTATATTTCTATCCTATATATATATATATATAGGATGACTGAAAAGTTTTTAGATGGGCCAAAACATGTTAAGTGATATTAAAAATCAATTATTTTTTTTCGAAGCTTTATATTCTTTTAATTTCGTAAGACCTTGTAGTTTTACGATCTGAAAGAAAAAGTTATTTCTAAAGGTCTTGAAAAAGTGTAATTGAATTTTAAAATCCATTTTAAAATCTTCTGATTTACCTAAGAACAAAAATATCCATACTATATTTCGTTTATAACTTTTTATTTTGGCTTTTTTTACTTTAACAATTTTTATTTTAACTTTTACCTTATTTTTAATCAATTTTATATACGTAAACTTATCAATCATTGTAATAGGCATTACAATATCTTATTTTCTTTCGAAGTTAAAAAGTTTACATTCCGATTGAGAAATACTCAATATCGAAATACTTAATGTCACTAAGTAATTATATGTTTTGCAAGAAAGAAGTCGTAAAACCATGTATACAATATATTCATCCAAAGTTATTAAGAAATTATAACCCATATAAATATTAATGAAATTTTAATGATTTATATTATTCAAAAATTACGTCGACATATTATATTTTACAGCCTCTTCTTTGTTTCCTTTCTTTTCTTTTTCTTTTTTATTTTTTTCTCTCTTTTTTTCTTTTTTTTTTTTCTTAAATTAATAAAAACCAAAATGTGAACGATAATATGACATTTCAAAAAAAAAATAATATGTCAAATAATAATTCTTTTAGGATACGGCCATGATGTAATTCATGATCATAATCTTTAATAATGTTTTTGAATGGCGTTCGCATTTAATGAATAGACATAAACGTATGGATGACCTTAATATTCTAAATGTCAGCTTAGTTCTTTGCCACCGATTTCAATATCATGTTCTATTTTAGCTTCGAATGTTCTTTTCTAAACTTAATTTAACTAGTTGTAAGTTTAACTATATAGCATCGAATTTTTTCTAACTGTATAACGATTAAGTTTTTACAGAGATTGTAACTGGTATCAATGACGAAGCTAATTAATAATTAATATTTATGGAAAAGAAAAGAAAAAAAAGTTTATATACAAGCTATCAGATTGCGTGATAGGAAATCCCAATAAAAATAAATTTGTATCGAATAACATTGAAATCATGTATGATAATCAACTATCAAACTTGATATGCAGTAAACGAAAAGATCCTTGATCGTACAATGGATAATACAAAGAATTTGTAAAAGAATGAATTATTCTAAAGTCACGTTCCGTGCATGATTACATCTTATGTATCGTTGATCATTGGAATAATGTAAGAGCGTGACAATTTACCGTAAATACTATAATTTATTAGATGATACGAAGAAAGGATATATGAGAGTGTAATGTAAAAAAATACCAGCAAAATATTGTACTAACCTTTTCCCAGAGAGAAAGAAATATTTCCTTTTAATTTCTTGTAGAATCGAAGAGATCGATCGTTGTAATTATTTTTCAATCCTCGATCTTTATTATATTAAAAAACAAAAAAAAACAAAAAATAAATAAAAAGAAAATAAAAAAATAATAAAACTAATATTCTTGATTTATAAATACATTCGATGGAAGAAGAACTATAATAATGTTCGTGTTCTATTTCAACGTTTCTCGAGGATCATCACGGATCGAACGGTAATTTCACTTAACTGTATCGATCTCGATCTCAATCTCAAATTGAAACGTTTAAACCAAGAGTTAAATTAATGTATAACGAATAACGATCTTCTTTATATATCGAAATGATTCATTACGATATTTTTTTTATCAAGAAAAAATTTGCGGAATGTTATACTTCGACGATTCTAAAAATATAACTTTTAAATATTATCTAAAAGAGAAATATACACGCAAGAGAAAGACAAGAAAGACGTCAAGACGAGGCCTTTCCAATAGCACGACTGACTCGTTCGTTTACGTACATGTATATACATTCGCGATTACTGCGTTCCATGACTCTTTCATCCCCTCCACGCTGGCACGATCGCCATGTGTGTTAGAAAAAGAAACGTAGAGTTCCTTCCGTTCTGTGAAAGTAAAAAAGAGGTGGCTAAAATTGAGGTGACTAAAAAGTATGTATGAGCATTGTTTCGTCGTTTGTCGTCTTTATCACGTAAATGTTTTAATTATTGCAAGTATGAAAAATGACCTCATACGAATTTGATAAAAAAAATTTTGTGACAAAAGCATATAATTTTCCTTTATTTTATCAATTATAATTAATAGTTTCCTTGAATGATGTTCGAATTCGAGAAAATTATCGTTTGTTTGAAAAATTTTCCATTGAGAATGATCGTTAAAAAATTGATAAAAATTTGTTTACAAGAAAAAATAATTTGTTTTCGTTTCATCGATTAGTTCACTGATACCCATGTTGATATCCATGTTGAACATAACAATATTCTCGATTGAAGAAATTTTTAATACTATAATTTAAATTTTCGAATATGATATTGTTTTTTTTATAAGAGATTGATAAAAATTAGAATTTATAAGAACAAATAATTTTTATTCCCTCTTTTATTGTGTTATTATGGATCACGTTCTCATTTAACAAAAATTTTTCCTTGTGATGAAAAGTCAGAAACTGGTATTTCCCAGTCTTTTTACGTTTCATTAGTTCCATCACATATATAATTTTATGCGTCTATTTTTTCAATGAGTTCAAACAATTGGTGCAATAAATTCTTTACAGTATATCTTTTGTATCTTTTTCTAGAGATCTTACAATTAGTTATATAACAAGAAGTTTACATTCCTCAAACAATTCTGACGATTTAAATATTTTTTCTAAATCGCAAACGCTTTCATTTTTTGTATCTTACAATTATCATAGAAATAAAATAAAAAATATTGTGAAAATGGCATAAAAATTTGTATTTGTATATTGCGAAATTTCTCTCGATTGTTCAACTTTGAACTTATTTGATATGTATGTATTTTGCTTTCACCGAATGAAAAAAAAAAGATCATCGATTTATTAAATGATAAAAATATCGTGATACAAATAATCACGATTATAGAACGAATTTCATGGCATTTTTTAATTTCCATGATGTATTTTTCTTTTTTTTTTTATTCGTGTTTTAAAACAAATAAATTTATTTTAATTTATATTTTGATTCAGATGCAACCCAATGTCTTAGAAAAGAATAGAATTGTCGCGTCAAAAAGTAAAAACATAAAAATAAATTGATTTTCTGTGCATAGAGTTAGAAAGCGAAAATGATAACTTTGAAATTACGTTCATTCGAGATTAGTCTATCCACAGTCTACCCACATACATACATATATATTTATGTATGTACGTTCCTAACACGGATAACAGTAGTTTGATTGCTCAGACTTCCGTCAATAGATAGTGAGAATCGTCAGATAATATTCTTAATACGTTGCGTAGAAATTTGTCATGTTCCATGGAAACTCCTTTGGAAAGTCCAGAATTTTTAATTGTACTTTATCACTTACTTTCTCCTGCTTTTAACCTTTACGCAAAGAGATTATTTGTCATAAAGTAGAATTGTTTCAAGAATTTATTTATTGCAAAAAATTTAATTATTTTTTAAAAACTTTCTCTCTCTCTCTCTCTACTAATCTAAAAAAAAAAGTCAAACCACGTATGTATATGTATATATATATATATATATATATATATATATATATATGTTTCATTCTTTCTCTTTTTTTTTGTTTGTTTCTTTGTGCGCATGATATATAATCACTTTATTAATAAGTTATGTAAAACATACGTCGTATAAAAAAGTTGTTCTTGCTCAACGTTAACATTTTACCAACATTATTACAAATCAAAGATAAATAATCTACCATTGTAATTGCTATTCTTAAACGTCAATAATACTGCTTCGTTTTTTATCTACATCAGTAACGTCCAAGTCGTTACCGAGACTTCCAACCCTGCCTCTCATTCCGATGTTATTTCCAACTTGTCCCGTTGCTTTCAATTTTTCTTGCATTTGTGCTAATATGTCTTGCATTCTTCGTATCTGCAAAAAAAAAAATAAAACACAATTTTACTATCAATATAATATAATATTTTATATATATATATATAAAAGAAATTTTAGAAAGTATTGATTGTTCTACAATTCTGGATCATAAAAATTAGATTATCCATATTTATTCTTACCTCTTCATCCTTTTGCAGGAGCAATCTATCCGTGTCAGATATATTGTTTTCAAAATGTGGACCCGAATCTCTTTTCAATTTACTGTAAAAAAAAAAAATATATATATATATGTACATATAAATATGTAACATGTTCATTAATAAAAATAATTATGCATGCGTATATGAATTCACAATGTTTTCTTTATCTTCTTTTTTTTTACAAATTCTAATATAATTCTAATATAATTCGAATGAAATAGAAAAAAAAGATATTTGAAAATATCCATCGTCAATACATGCAATTCTTTTCTATTTCTTATTTTTCTCCCGACTCGTTATTTTTACAGCTAATAATAAAATCTTCGATTATAGATATAGATATATAATGTATATATATATGTTATTATGCTGTTATTATCTGGCACGATATAATCTGAATTACACATCGATGACCGTGACTTTTATTGATAGCCACTGGAACAATTAAATGTAGAAATGACGTGTGTAAATACGACTCCTTTATTAAAAAAAAAGAAAGTCAATTGAAAATTAATCATCTTTATTTCTTACAATATCATCAAGTGTAATTAATTATGGGAATTGGATAAATTTCATTTCTTTGACTCGTAAAAATAATGTAAAATCATACAATTAAATTATTAATAAGTAAGTGTTATACTAATACATAAAGCGTTAGATATGTTATCCGAGACGTCATAGAAAAGATTGTGTTAAGTCAAAATCAAACAAATCATATAACATATTTATATTTATTAATAGGTGTATATTAATTTATTTTCTTTTTTTTTACACGTGGAGAAACACACACGTGCGCGCGCGTTTAATTTTTTATTCATTCGGAAAAGAAAGTCAAAGAAAGCTATTGTCTCAAGTTATTTCTGTTGATTCAAGGTCTTTCATCATTTTAATATATGTACAATAGATTACGTGATCATGTTCGATTATATTGTGTTTGAATCATCTTAACGATATATGCGGTATCGTTCAATGAATTTAATTTAATCCATTGAAAAAATGAAAAACCAATGATTGTATGCGACTTAAAACACGTGATAGGTGATAAGTGTTAAGTGATAAGATGACGAGGTAACATATAAATAAGCAGCCCATTCTTCATGAAATTCTTTTATCAAATTCGCTATTTTTATGAAGTTTACTTTGACGTAGCTATTTTTTCTTTTTTGTATAGCTATATCTCCCACTTTCACAGAAATATTTTTTTTCTTAAAAGAGCACCTCTTCGTATTTCTTCCCATTGACGCATTAAGCTTCAAAGAAGGAATCATTGCATCGTTTACACAATGATAGCACTACACAAAGCTCATACCAGTCATCGCCGTGACCAAAGAAAACCTTGTAATCTCTTTTAGAATTAGTCCTGTATATATGGATTGTATTGAATTGGTTTCACAAGTGGTACGTATATATTAATACGAAAGATGATACAGATTTTAATATAAAATTCTTTTAAATTAAATTTAATAGAATGTTTATAACTATTGTTTATTGTCAGATATATTTGAATTAATTTTATTTTTATATTCATTGAAAATTTTTGAATGAATTATTTATGTTGTTAAAAGATTTCTTCAATTTATTTTTCATTGTTTCAAGTAGTTTTATCTCGAATAACATTGATAACGCTCTATGTATAATAGTAAGCATGCATAAATACGTATGTACCTACTGAAATACAATAATTATTTACATGCGTAAATACCTCCGTTCCCGTATTGCTTGTTGTGATATTTGTGAAATGCATTGGGCCCGAAAATTCTCATAATGTACATCTTGTGTTACGTCCTTAAGATCTTGCATATGCGTTGATATCAGCATTGTTCGGAGTTTCACAAAGTCGCTGTGCTTTGGATTCTCGACTATGATCAAAATTATAATGTTGAAGAATATACGATAATTTTTGTTAAATAGATAACTGAAAAGTTTTTTTTCTCTTTTCTTTGTTTTTTTTTACTTTTTTCTTCTTTTTCGTTTCTTTTTTTTTTTTTTTCTTTTTTTAAAGTACAACGAAAACCTATCAAATAACATTTACAATGTTTTCACCTAATTGCTTAATATTTCCACCTAATATCTAAAGAGATATTACAAAGCGAAAATGTTCTTCTGTTCGATAATATAATTAAACTGCAATATATTGTAGTATACGATTCGAAAAAGATCACGTGATTGTTCCACTTACATTGTTTCATCAGCATCAGACACCTGCTTTATTATATAAAGTACGTATAATATTATGCAAGCATTGGTATAAGATATAAGAAAAAAAAAGGAAAGGAAAGAACAGAAAAATCCAGCATAAAAGAGTTCACCTTCTACGACTCCCCAAGGATATTGTCGACCATGAACTTTCCTTCCTGCTACTTCCAAAACGGTAGAACTACCCACGACCGCAAAAGGTATACATGCTTTCAATTCTTTATCTTGTTGTTTAAATTCTTCGTCTTCGTCGCTATCACAATCAGGGAATTGATATATCTACGTAAATACAAATTAATTTTTACCGATATCACATCTTCATTTTTTTCTTCTTTTTTGTTTTTTTTCTTTTTTTTTCATCGAAATACACAGAAGGATAGATATGATTTTAATATATATATATATATATATATATATATATATTATTTATATATTATTTATATATATATATATATATATATTATTTATATATATATATATATATATTTATATATTATATATACAAAGAAAAATAATAAAATATACAAACAACAAAGTTTACCTGAAT